TGTCGGATTAACAACACTGAGACGTGGCGGTTGTGACTCGCCACTGAATAAATTCACTGCCCACAACTACATACTGGCGAGTCGGCTAGATTGATATTTCAACTTTTTCCCTTCACGTGCAGGCATATGATTCTCTCCGTCTACAAGCGCTTTTTCACGCACCTATGGTGAATTGACCGTTTACAATACGCACTATTTAACACAACTAATCGTAGTGATACATGACTGCCTATATACCTTGATCATGCCAGATTTAGTGTGTCTATATAAATTTGAGAAGAAACTATTTATTTGTTTATTTATTTATATGCTTCAGCACTATATGTGCCTACCAGCCTACGGTTCCATCAATGGTAGGCTTATTACTCATCCCAACCCATTACGCCCGTCCTGCCAGCATGACTTAATGCGCTGCAAGTCGTGGTGCCCTAGCTTCCCTACGCCCCTAGCAGGAATTTTGTAGCTGAGTGTTACTGCACTTTTGTCTCATGTGTGGTGACATCTTTAGCAACCTTATTGTAGGCTTGCATCGCCTCCGCTGGTCGTTCTTTTATCATTAAACCTTGGTTAACTTTCTAATGGCAAGCAATATTATCGTATCTGGTCAGCACACGGCCGCCACCTAGCCTCTATATTCTAGATGCAAGCTTTTCCTCGCTCGCTGCAAGGTCATTGCCAGTTGCTCACGGAGCAGTCCAGCACTGTCACTGGATTTGTTGGCTCAGTATACCTTGGTATAATTATGTTGGCACCAAAACATAACTTGTGTTTCCGCGCGTTGCTGCGCTTTTGCCTCATACGTTGCGATGTCTGCAGCAACCTTAAGGTACGCTTGCATTCCGCCATTTCACAGCTCTATCTTCCAGTAATATTCTAAGCTGTCTTCTAGTGATCAACCATATCGAATATAGTCAGCACACAGCCGCCCTTTAGACAATTCTTTCTAGGCGTTCCAGCTCCCTCATTCGTAGCAACGTCCTCGACATTTGCAACGTACAGCTCTCTCAAGGGCTTTTCCATGCTTAGTAGACCTTAGCATTATCTTTTTAGCACCCTTGTGTCATCAAAGAAGCTTTTACTCCGCACTTGACTCCTATCTACCCGCTAATTAACCATCTATTAACATTGAGTATCTCTCGTCGCAAGCTGTTTATGCTTATGCTGCACTCCGTAGTCCCAACACCTCGCAGCCAATTGATCGCCACCACCATCTTTTGCGTTTTGGCCAGGAGTAATATGGCGAATTCAGCCGCACCACCTGTGCAGGCTGAGGCCAGCCTGGCAACCGTGGAGTACAAGCCAGGTGCACCTGAACCACTCCGAAAATACTCGCTTGGCATTAACAAATATGTTGATTCCAGCTGATGTCTAATACACGTACCATGCTTTTTGAGATACCCATTTACCGAGGGCCGAATATTGAGTATTTAAACTGTCGTCCGTCGTCTTCCGAAGCAAATCGCTAACTCCACAGAAGCTACTGAAAGCTGGGGAAGTGTTGAAATCGGGTAGAACGGATGTCATTTGACCGCCATTTAACATGAGAACACAACTTGCAATTCATATATTCAGACTATTTTCCCAAACCACAAATTATCCGCCACAATACTTGTCAGTTAAGCAAAAGAAAGCGAATCGCAACAACACTTTACACTTAGGTTGCACTTGACTTCTTTCAATTTGCACTATCAACAGCGGTTGAATCTTACTGTAAAACCTATTAACAAGCTGCTGACCACTTTTCACTTATACCTTAATGCCACTAAAAACGCGTCTTGGACAGTCGAGAACAAAAGTTAAACGATTTCTTCTTTTATTCATTTACTTAGTCAATCGTTATTTACCAGCTTGTTTGTATTACTCCAGTTATTGCGTGCCGCAGCGCTTGGAGTTTACATATTTTATTGCGAAGTTACTAGTTACCCACCATGTATTTACCTTTGCTACCTAGTTGGCTCCCTCAGTAGCGCACGCTCTTTTAGCACTCAATATTTGTTCCTGGCGGCTTAGTACGACTGAACACTGTACATCTCCGCGCTTTAATCTTATATATCCCGATGTATAAGTACCGTTGCTTATTCGATACCTGTGCTTGAAAGCTGCAGCTTCGTTTTGTTTTATCCACATACCGTCCTTAACTTTCATCTAACAGGCTAGTTAGACGTACTCGCTTCATGAGAGCCAGTAACTAGGGTTGCTTTTCCTATTGCTCTTTTACTACTAATTCATCCAACGTGTTTTACAGCATGTAACATCTTTTTTTATTTTCTGCATAATCACTGCATATCTGTACGCACAGTATTATCACGCAGGTCGATTCTGTGCACCTTCAGCACAAACTTTAATTTGCCGCACTAAACATAACCACTTCAGCCAATATTTCCGTTCAGTTTACTGCAGTTTTTCTTAATATCAGAATGCGCACAACAGCAGGGAATACCACGTTGCCTAGTTTCATGTCGGTTCTTTGTGGTCTTTCCCCGCCTGGTCCCTCTCTCCATTCTCTGAGCTCGGTAAAAGTCCATCGGGAGCGTTCTACGGATCCTGTTGAATGAACTCTGCTCCTAAAGTGGATAAATATATCCAGTAAGAAATAAACTGCTGCGCCCACCTGCGGCGCCCACGCAACCAAATGCAAACATTAGTACGAAAACAGTAAGGCCGCTGCTCATATCGGCACTTACTGGCATGCACAACCCCTCCGACAGCATTCCGTTGTGGAAGCTGGATTAAGTGGTTAAATTCTGAGCTCATGCGCTATTAAAACAATTAAAAGCGACTGTGCAGACCGCCCTAATCATGAATGCCTTGAAGTTATTTGATAAGAATCCACAATCTATAGTTACAATGACCAGGCGTCTAGTCACTCACGAACGATTCTTCCACCATTTAACACCATATTTCCAGTGTTCACTATGCCATGAAGCAACAGTTTGCAGTCTATCCCGAAACCTGATGAACTCAACCATATGACTGGCATTGCAACAGAGCAAAACTCTTAATTACAACGATTTCGGCGGACCCTATACAGCAACTTTACTGTTCCACTAACTATACATGCATTGTGGCAAACACCACAGCAGTGATGTAACTTTATGACCGTGGTTCCGAGGCGTGCCTCCAGTCTGAGAATACTTGTATTTATTTATTATTTACCTATGGGCGCCGTTTTGGGGCCAGCACCTTTATGCGTCAACCATGCACTAGTGAATAGGAATAGTTCGGTTGCTGTCGTAGTGTCAGTGGTCATAGGATGATATGTGGAACAGGCTGCTAAACACAAGGAGGATTGATGAATACCATGAAATAAATTCACGTCCAGTTCGATGGTATCGTTGATCTGGACGTGTTAGTATCCATGTTTTCACTCAACTAGTCAACTTAAGAAATATTGCGAAATAGTTAACATGACTTTAGGCGGTAGTACACAATAGAATAGCTCAGAGCTAGATACTGCTATGTAGAACATTTACATCGAGAGTACGCTAAGCTTAATAGTTTTATATAAGTTCATCTGCAGACAGAATAGGACAACCGATAAGTAGCTACCATCATGTGCCGTTAAGAAAATTGGTGGGCAATGTTTGGCACAAGGCTTCATCTTTCCCACGTTTGTAAGGCTACCGCGCGATTACTGACTACTGCCACAAACTTGTCATACAAGCGACTATATTGCGGATTTCGCAGGATTTTGCAATATAAATGCCGCATTTCAAATACAAAAAGGCATCAAACGATAAGGAGGATTGGGAATTGATGGAGCAGCGTATGGGCATTTTGTGCAGTGCAATTACCGTCCGCATGAGTATTCCGCTGAGAGAAATTGTATGGTGCCCAAATTGTGACCTGCAAGAAAGCGGTCATTCGGTGGACACAGTGCTTTCGTAGTATTAGCTCATTTCATCGGCAAGTTTAACGCGTTGCCAGCCTTCACTGGTTAGCTTGATGGTCGATCAAAACAACCCTTACTCACAGTACCTGCACAGAATGCCGGCTCTCTAGCTTTACTTCAGTTCGAGTTACTATGACAACACAAAGCTCTCGTCCTTCTGCGGTTGTCGGCAGAAAATATGGAGGTTGAGGGGCGTAATCTTCATCTTAGTAGGTTGTCTACTCCAACATTTTTGAGTGTGTAGAGCATTCCAATGGCTTTCTCATCAATAAGGGCATAAGAACAAATAACCGTTAGACTGATTAACATCACATTGCAGTAGATCCATTGACAGCTTTCGAAAGCCCGCCACTGCGTTGTCTTCCGCGCGCGTTCAAATATTCGCAGAAAAAGAAATTGCCATTAACCAAACGAAAAAGCAATATTATCAATAACTGTTTTGTGAAAACCAATCGTTCCATTAATAGATTGGAACAAAATATGGGATATAATCCTCGCAGCATGGTTTAGAAAATGTGCATACCATTAATATTTCGTTATTTTTACTTACGCATTGGATAAAGATTCCACCTATTCCTGTGTTAGTTTTGAAGAGTAAGCTCTTACCTAATATTTTCCCATTCAGCTGCTTTGCAGCCACTTGAGGGGTGTAAAAATACATTACACACGGCTGCGGCGCATTTCCTGCTTGGAATTAGGAACGTTGGGCTAACATATCAGATGAACCAAGTAGTACACCATTGTACGGCACGTTGCATACCTTCTGAAAAACTTGAATAGACGAGAAAAACAACAATAATAACCATAATACAATTGCATTCGAACCAAAGCACCTAGTTGTTACTCAAACTGCTTGCGTGGAATTAGACGGGTAGCGAAAATTTCGCGTAAAAAATTAAAACTGGGGTCTAATTATCACGTAAAATATAAATTAGCTTATCATAATAATCTATTTGTTCAGCAGTAAGAATTTTGTTTTGATAACTACTTCCACTGCAAAATTCTATAAATATGTCAACTTTGGGAACTGACCGCGCAGTTTCGGAAAGTAGCTTATTTGTATTACTCACGGGGTTTCGTACTCACAAGCATTCCAAGAAGTTGAAGCATGGTAAGTTTTGCATAACGCACTTTTTGCTTCTTGCCTACCTTATTTAACGGTAGCACAGTACACTGCGTTGGCTCGATTAAGTACAACGCATAGTTATTATTTTGCTTTTATATCCTAACATTTATTCAACCGCTTAATTACTTTTTTGGTCGAAATTAATATACCTGGTGTGCAGCATTGCGCGTTGCACTTCAATGGTGTTCTGTCAACCGTTCACGAATTTAGCAATTATGTAGACCAGAATTTTTCATAGTTTCAGTTAGAGGAACTTAACCGCAACTAGGCTCATGAATGACGTCAGCTTCTAGGTATAGACACCAGTATAGACACCAGCAGCAGCGAATCGCCGTGCAGTTGCGCTTTTTTGATTTGTGAACACACCAAACTGTGACGGCTGGTATAGGTCCGAATTAAATAAGCAAATAAATATATCCTTGACTGCGAGGCACCCCTTTACAGCCCTGATCATTTTATGCTAAAAAGGCGTGATCAAAATGCGCAAAAATACTTGTTTACCATAACAGTTATTGTCTGTGAGGGAGTGTATACGCGCGAGTAATTGTGTGTATGCGTTGCTGTGTAGTTTCTCTTTGCCATTCTGCCGCTTCATTCTTGACTGTTTGATACCGTCTGTAATGTGAGAATGGAAAATTGATGTCCGTGAGTTGGAAACGAATATCCAGAGGTCCAAGTGGCAGTGAGTTTATTTTGTGGCGACACACGACCGTCACGCCACATTGTTGTCTAGCAGACATTTGTGGCTTTAGATAGGGAGAAAGCTTGCCAGGCGAAAGTCCACCCCGCCCTAGAACACTGCCGCAGAACTATCTGCTGGAATGGGTTAAACTCCAACCACCCAGCTGGCACCACAAGGTTGTTCGGCTATCCAGGCTCCAACTTTGCGAATGATGCGCGAAATATTAACTTGCGCCATTGCAAAAACAGAATCAGCGTTTTTTAAAATAACTTCCCTACTACTCCTCAAACAACCTACTATCCAGTGCGGCTTCCGTAATGAAACTTGTAGTGATAGATATTTCTCTGCATGTCTGTGTACGATGGGTAAACTATTATAAAAATATAGTTTTCTGCCACCTAGGCGACCTAGGATGTTTACCTGGTAGAGCCATGAGTACGTGTGTTTCAGTCAACCAGGCGAACTGCGCTTCGCCCGCTATTTACCCTACCGGCATTCGCCTCAAAGAGCGCTAGCCTGGTCTGAGTTGGCGTCGTTTCTTTCCCTCTGGCTAGAACCTTTATACCGTGCCTATAGGTAGCGGGATTTTAAATTTCGACAAGAAACTTCTACCGACTGTGTATTCGCCTTTTTCCGGTTTTTCACCAAGGCGGGACAAACCTGTATTTATAGCTACCGAGTGATTTCGCTACACACTGGCCGCAATTTTCAGATCTACTCCACAGCAGGGCAATTTCTGAAATCGCCACCAAAAACCGGGTCTTTTGCTGTCTGGACTAGCCCTTATCTCTTGGTCCGAAGCAATTCAAGTACTTTCGCACGTACCAAATACTCGGATAGAGCATTCGTCACAAGTCGCGCTACTTTGAGCTTGTGAATACGTGCAACAAACAACGACGAACAATAATACGTGCAACCACAAATTATTTCGAAAATTTGTGATGCTTTCTTTGATTTAAGCCTCATTCGGAGATCCTGAGCTCAACAGTCTTCGTCACCAAACCTATTGACCCTGAAATGAAATATGAATTTAGCTACGTATAAGTATTGGTTCATTTAGATGAGTGGCTCGCTCGATCTAGCAGAATACATGTTTAAATGCCATTCGTTTTCGATTACCACTACTGATAAGTGGAGTGAAGAATATTCATCAGAAACGAAGTCTAGTGATACAGAATAGGATTTGTTTGTTCATGGATAACAAACGCGTCAGACGCGCGGCGGGTTTGCAGGGATTCAGCCGTAGCCTGTATTGCACAGAGTTAAAACAACCCAACTAACACAATGAAGCATTTTCGCCATGAGACACACACGAGCGCGCATGATTAAGACTCCGGAGCAAATCGTGGCGATTTCGTGCTTTTAACAAACCTTGGCCCGAGCAAGTGAGATGATTTTTAGATCAATATGCCATCAGTAACACCCACGCACTACCTTGAATCAGGTGATAAGTGCCAACCAATCAGGATGCAGCCCTACCGTAAACCACAGCGCCGGACCCTACGCAGGCCTGCCTTGCCTGAAACACATCAACTTAACGGCGGTATCACTGCTTGTCTGCTATTGACCGCACTCCCCACCTTCAACTGATTGCTAGTGCAACAAAAGTGGGAAGACACATGCTAGACATGGCTCCTATTCCCTACCCGGCTTCACGTGCCCGCGCGTTTCCTTAGACGAGCAAAAGGTGCACAAGGTGAACAAGGTTATATTTATTCGTTTGGTGTACAGGAGTGGATATTCAACTCTACTATTTCTACGTTTGTATTGGTCTCCATCTGCATGTAATCGTAAGCAGCTTGTAGACAAAATACAAAATTACCTGGAGCTGACTTAATGCCTAGCTCCGTATCCTATGAACTGCTAATCAATGCCGCCCGTTGTGCAGCCAGTTTTGATGCATTTTGCCCCCATCGCAGTGCGTGTTGTCACTACAGTGAAACTTGAAACATTGCCACAGAATGAAATGGTATCATCTGATAATTCAACACACTGCCACACGGATATGCTAATGTGAGGTAACTTACGAATTTGAAGTCTCTCTTGGTCTGCCAGAGAAGTTCCAAGCCCATACATGATTTCCAGCGTGATAAAAGCTATGGGCAGGCCAGCTATAGCTGGTAGAACAGCTTGCCTTACTGCATTGCCAATGGAATTATGCGTAGAACCCATGAGCACGGTCGATAATTCCTCCTCATATCGAATAGCAAGCATGCTTAATGTTAAACGACACACTTGTAGAGTAGCCAACCCTTACAGGAACGCAGACAAACCTTCAAATTTGATGACAAGTAGCAGCGGTGATGTAGCGAGTTCACAATAAAACAGACTCCCCAACCCGTAACGGTGTAGTCTGCGTCCGACAGAGGATTAAGAGGGCTTCCGTGTGCGCTTTGTACAAATACAATTAAAAGAAAAATAGCAGGAAATTCCGATGTGCATTCCTTTAAAGAAAAGTGGAAACATCCATAGCCGCCTGAGGTACAACGTTCTCCTTATGAATTGTAATATTCGTCCGGTTAGGCGTTCCAGGATTTTCGGTGGCTGTAATAGACTCTTAGAACTACAACACAAATACCTAGATTTTCAACAGCCTGGTAAGAGCAGCAACTAAGAAAGCACAGAAAAGAAGTAAAAAGTTCCGTGGAGGAATGAGATGGTAAGCTTAAGAGGAAACAACATTCGTCCACCCCCCCACCCCTACCTGTTAACGTGCTACCGTAACACCCGTGGACAGGCTACCGAATCACATTAGTTCACTCAAAGACTTGCTACAATGGCGAACAGGCACGCGTTATAACAAATGACTGCATATCTATCATTTGCCATTAATCAAGGTAAAATTAAGTTGTACATATTGTCATCCTTTGAGTATAAACATATAAGCGTTGTCTATTCATAAGTTCATCCAGAGGCGTCATGCATTCCGTAAGGCAAATTCGTGGCTAAAGCACGATTTCGCCATGAATAAACACGATTTTTCATGAGGCTGTGCTAGGTGGGAAACATTTTAAACCTTAGCTTAACCATCAGTCTACTTAACCGTATCAAGGGGCCGTGACTTTTAGTGATCTGCACAGTGAATTCACCGAAACTGGGCAATTTCCCAAAACGTTACATTGCATTGCATGAGTTCAGTATTACAGACCTTCTGGCGTGCCCAACCGCAAAAGATCGCTTGCAGTCCACTTAACAGGCTAGCCTATTTTCGGAAGATTCAAAAGTGAGTTCCCGCCTTGCCTCCTAGCATGGCGTGCTTTTCCGGTTGAACAGTTGCACAGTAAAATATTGTGTGCAGATAGCATAAACTCAACCTTGCGCGCTTCCGCGCTTCAGTGTGTGTTTATGCTACAAGGCACAGATGTGCCCAAAAGTTTTCACGCATCCCTTAGCTTGAACTATGAACTCGAGCCTTTTAGACTTTATCGTTGCTTTTGTTCTCGCGTTTATTACACAGAAAGTGAACACCTAGTAGTATTCCAGATGTCACAAACTACATACAAATCGTCCGTTCCCTATGGAGAGCGTTGGTCAGGGTTATTGTTGGTGCATCCAAGGATGATTGCTACTCGTATTAGCTATCTACTTGGCTACATTCTTGCTATATATATATATATATATATCATTCCGTAAGTAACCAGCTTTTTGGTATAGCAGTAGTAGTCAGGCACCATGGACGCTCAGTTTCATGTTGGTTTTTATCGTTACTCAACATGAATACACAGGCCCGGTTTCATTTATAACCGGTCAGCTACTTGATCCTGATTAGTCTGGCATTCTTCCATTATGCGTTTGATTATGTTTTACTACCCGTCAAGATAGTGAATTTTCCGCCGTCAAGATTACACGTCAATGACTGACCGTTGGTAGTCCGGTTAATTTTGTGGCTCAACTTGGATGCTATCGTACAGCGACCGCTTGCGAATGGCAAATTTAAACTTAGTGCACAGTGTTCAGTGTCCATCTAGATTAGAGTAAAAATTCTCATTCTATTTTAGGACAGCCATAATAATACCACGTGGACACCATTTCGTTTCACGTTATTCCTACCCACCTGTCTGTGGATCGCACATTCTCTTTCATCTCTAACGGCATAAGGCAATCTAGTCAAGCTGCTAAAATGCCTTTAGCCACCGGTTTCGAAGGCTAGCTATTTCACGCTCACATAATTTCCCGTCCCTGATTGTCATGTAATTAATTCCTTCACGATGCCGTCTTGTCTAGTCAGCTGCTTGACTACTGCAAAATAAGGTACCGAAATTGCAATTGTTTACAGTTTTCTTTCGTTTTTCGTTTTTGTCAGACCAAGGTTCCTACGATCAAGCTCTCAAAGGATGTGAGCATGCCGGTGTTTGGCTTGGGAACGTGGAATGTACGTATACCTTGACATAACCATTTTTCGTAGTCACCTGCGGATGAAGTTAAACTCGCAGTTCGTACTGCGCTAGAAGCTGGATACCGTCATATCGACTGTGCCCTTGTATATGGAAATGAGAAAGAAATCGGGGAGGAGCTTGCTCAGTCAATGAAGAAACTCAATCTGAAGCGTGAAGACATCTTTATCACAACCAAGGTAATCTCAGTTGTGCATATCGAACATTACAAAGCTGTGGTGCACTCACTTTCGCAGGGATCTCGTCCGTAAGTGTTGCGAAACTAGCCTAAAGAACCTACAAATTCCATACATTGATCTGTATCTGGTGCACTGGCCAGTGGCGCTCAAGGTAATGCGTGCAGATTTCTGACCTCAATTAAACCTTAGCCCGGCGATGAATTACTCCCAAGAACAGAAGACGGATTTCATTTCGCTCCTGATAAGGTTCCGCTGCTGGAGACTTGGAAGGTAGGTGTTTTGTGCCGCGCATACTGTCTGCACCCACAGCTGCGTTTCTGACAGTGACATATAACTTCTTGATGCTGAGAAAATGTTTCACTGCTAATGTCTGCCTAAAGCTTGAGCTGTGTAATCAGAACACAATATTTCTCCGTACAGATGTTTCTTGTCCTCGAAACTGCCGCGATACCTGCTTAACACTGGCTCTCTCATTTGTTTTGTTCACTATACCTTCGTGTCTGTCTCTTGAAGTATTGCAAGTTTGTGTTCAGAAAGATCCAAAGACTAAGTTGCAATTAAAATGCATATACATCATGTCATGCTTCTTGAAATAGTGAATTGTCATATTTTATTGTTTAAGTGTTTGTGACAATTCGCCCTCCAGAAATAATCACGAATCGTGCGCGGTGTATACACCCCCTTTGGTATACGCAAAAAAGTACTTCACCCAGAGTGTTATTTCTTAGTTAGTTCAATTGGCATAGTCATCGAGTCCACAGGTTGTTACTTGAGACCTGGGCACGAGACTTCAGACGAATTTATTTTAGTTATTTTGATACTTTCGGACTGTGCAGAACAATCGAATTTTTGGCAGTTCGCCTGTTCTTTCTGGAACATCTGTAGTTGACTGATCAGCTGTCATCACAAAATAGTCCACTGCTTATGGAATCAAGCGCCGGTTTGCTTTGCCTGAGAACTGAAGAATACGTGATTGTCCCTTTTGAGAAATTACACATAAGCTTATAACCGCCACTAAAAAGAGCGGGATATCAAGATTACTATGCCAGCTACCCTGCTGCCAACACTATAGTGTTGATTGTGCTGCTCCAAGCGCATCAGTCTATTCAATCACCGTATATTTAGATAAGTTAGCAGTAAATCTTTCATATCTTATACATTGAAAATCTTATCACGCTGCCGTTGATGATGATAGTCCTTCCTGTATGAATGATATATAACTTTTGTTAGCATCCTGTACAACTCATTTCTACCTGCATTTTTCCACATGTTTTTGGCTTTCATGTACTCTAACACCCCCGTTAACGCTAATAAAATAGAATGATGTACTGTTAAGTGTCGAGGACTAAAGAATGACTTCCTACAGTATGGCATAGATGAAGATCCCAGCTTCGAAAAACGCAATTTAATAAAATAAACCACTTCTTCATAGAATCCCCATGATATTCACTCTAGCACAAAGTAGCGACTCTAACTTTAGCTGCGCGGACTGGTATCCGCTTGAGTCTCGTAAGGAAGGTAACATCTAATAGTGCTTTTGTGTCTACAATGGGTTCCGAGCTGTCCTACTACCAATCCACTGGTTATCATTAAATCAGTGCCATGTAATATATAGCCTGATTTGCCTCGTATGATTATACAATTATCCGAAGGGTGGCTCGTGTACATCAATAATGATATGACGAACTCCAGCTATTGAACCAGCAAAACTGTAAACATGCACTTGTAATCTATAGATTCATATTTAAAATTAAGGATTAACTGCGTTGTTTCGCTTAATTTCATCGTAAAACATGTGAAAAGTGACATTCAGAACGTTTGAAACCAACGAACAGCTTCTCTAAAATCTTAGGCTCACTTGCTGCAGTGCGCGTGTATTTGTGGAATGTGAATTATTTTGGAAATCGCGTAGTTACACACTGCGAGAATAAGGCGAATCACAACCCTTCAGATTCGCATCCCATTTCGTGACAAATACCGTTCACGAAACCAATGGTGTATTCTCTTAGGCATCGTGTTCACCATACGAAAACAGTTTTGTCTTCAGTGGAATGCCAAAGCTCAATGCGGAATTGAAAAGAATTGCACGTACTCAACTGTCCCAGAGGTATACGGAAACCATGATGGTCAAAATGAATCCTCGTAGGTGCCGCCGAATTCTCTGCTTCTGCTTCAGCGAATGAGCAGTATATGGGAAACAAAACCTCGACTACTCAATAATTGAAACATATTAACTATGTTGATTGTCCTGTGTACGTGAAATTTAGACATTCTTTTCCTGAGCTACGGAAGAAATTAAAGTTATCCTCTGTTTTGTTTCAGAAGTGATATTCCCCTAAATCTAGGTCCGGTGTCTGTTGTTTACCTTTGTTTCCTTTCCTAACTGAAGAATTATTACAAATTAGTGATCTTATCATGTGATAACCGAAAATGTCAATTTACGTGGAATCAAATCACACAAAAGTGTACCACTTTGTAGCCTCTGTCTTCTGATTGCCTTTGCTATAGTGACACAGAGACCAGACAGTTAAACAATATAACCCAATCAGAGGCCATGTTGAGCCGCTCTACTGTCATTCATTAAACAGAACTTATTCGCCCACAGACAATGCATCAAAGCGGCGTTTCGTTTTTACTTCACTTGTTACAGGCAATGGAAGAGTTGGTTACAGCCGGACTTGTAAAAACCATCGGTGTGTCAAACTTCAATCGCCGTCAGTTGGATCTAATACTGAAGAATTGCAATATTAAGCCGGTCAACTTGCAAGTGGAGATACATGCCAATTTTATGAATTCAAAGCTGGTTGACTATGCACGCTCTAAAGGGTTGACGATAACTGCTTACTCTCCATTGGGATCACCAGCCGCTGCTCCGTGAGTCACTGATTCATTGTGCTTTGCGAAGACGCCTTTTGAACTGATCCATTCTTTATGCTATATTTTCTCGACAGCATCCTGAATCGCTTCGCCTTAACAAACGAAATGAATTTTTTCTAGCTCGTTAGGTAACGGATAAGAAATTGGTCCATAGCAGTTCAACTGGATGCGCTAGTGTGCTTTCACTATGCATACCAACAGTGATTAGGCATTTTCTAAGGTTTTTTCATCTGATAACATTTGATGCAATGGAACGGAATAGAAATGTCCTACGTTCGCGTGAATGTACTTAGGCCTGGGGCACATCGGCTAGGGCAGTCTTACATTCCCATCCGCATTTAACAGCAATCACGGCACCACATGTTTGGTCTTCTTAATCTCACTGAGCACACACTGGTAGTATTACTGTTTACTCTCTTCTCCACACATTTCAGTGAGGAATTCCAGTTTGTGATGTCTATCACCTTGTCTGCCATTCACTCGGGGATTTCACATCTTACTCACCAGTAGTGCACCATATTCTCGGCTTGTCGCGTTGATTCGCTTTAAACTTCTCTCACTTGATTCACAGTGTCATTTTCTTTGTCTTCTAATTTACGTCGACTTCCGGAAATTTTGCTTTGTTCACCCTATGAGTTCCGTTGTCTCACAATATTTACGGCTGCATAGTCGGGCGGTGGTCGAAAGGATTGCATGCCTGGTTTACAGCCCTTTGGTCACCGGTTCGAATCCGCGTAGGGGCGGGCGTCCTAGTGGTATACTCAGCCTACGTGTGATTGGTCGTGGCAGTGAATCGTCGGTACAGTGTGTCGGCGTATTGCTGATGACTTTCCTTTCCTTTCTGGCTAAATAACATTTTCTCCCGGACGAAGATAACACGTAAATCTTCGTTATCTGTACTTTAATTATTCTTGTGAAGACTACAGTTGTTTAACCTGGTGTATCCACATTCCTCACCCGGCTGCATTCTATTGTCCCTCGGCCACATTTTTTATTTCCCGATGTTATCGTTGTCTCTCCACAATACCATCTTTTTCGTCATCATCATCGCAACAGGAAGTGGTATTGGTCGTTTTCTGTTATATTACCATAAGTGCACTAGGAATGGGTATTTTGGAGAGGTATATGTTTAAAATTTCTCGCAAAACAAGCCCATCAATTTTGGGCTGCTAGGTTGAGGTGATATTGCTTATACAAGCTGAGCTTCTGTAAGTAAGAAATTCGATTATTTGGTTTGAACAATTCAACTTGAATTTTCCTCATCTGGTCTCCGACATCGCTGATCAGTGATACCAGGACTGCTTCTTTGCGTCTGCTTTCCGCTTGATTAATCTGGCAATATGTAGTCTTGGCGTCGGTTTATCAGAGTTAGACCAGAAACTGCGGACTGGTGCGTGTTAAGACTCTAACCAAAGGCTCAGTAAGTTCACTTTTTGGGTTTGAGCATCGTTGGAACCGGCAGTGTGTGTCTGAGTCCGCGTAGTTTTCCAGCGTCTGTCGGAACTCGTCTTATTCCGCAGACGTCCCTCGGTATCATTGTAAAATTAATGTCGTTGTACACGACAACGTCGAAGTCGAGATTCAGTGTTCCCAACCGTTCTGGAGGCTGCACTTAATAAGCACACTGTTGATGATCGTCATTGCATGTTCGATACTGTGGCAGTCTCTGAAACTCATCCCAGCAAGTTGGGTTTCGTGAAGTCTAACCTATCACTTTAAACTTTTAAATCGATTTAATCTATGGGCGTCTGCGGTTTTCTTTTAGTGGTGAAGTTAACCTTCTCACGGAGCCATGGGTATGTGAAGTTGCCAAACGGTATAACAAATCCGCTGCACAAGTTTTGCTCCGCCTTCTACTGCAGCTCAACATCGCCGTCGTGCCGAAATCGGTCACTCCGTCACGCATCATCAGCAACTTCCAGGTGAGCACCAGCTGTGTCATATTCATTCTGAGGGACTATGATCCCACGCCAGGTCTAATCAGCATATTCTCGCATACAAGTAAATTAGTAGGTGCAGAGGTTACCAGGTATGTGAGTCGGAGTAATCATAGTACGAAACTGTGCTTAGATTTCTATAGAGTCTAATTCGAATCATCTTATGACTTATTTTGTTTCTTTGAGCTCAATCGGTTATTGGGGAATTTTCAATTGTTCATCTTACGTTTATTACTTTCACAGAAAGCATCCGTTGTATATTTCACACAGGAGATGACCGGGGTTAACTGAAAGAGGAAAGCAATTTACAAGCACTAAGTCAGTATGTTGGCTTCGAAGTTTAGTAAGAACTTATAACATTAGCCCGTTTAGTTCTTCTGGAACTTCACTAAGCATCATAGACATTGTTCAGCATTAATTTTTTGCTAAGGGCGCACATACGTGGCTACTTTCCATGGCAGAGATAAGCATATTAGACACATGCGCAGGGGAAGAGATGACGAGTATAGCCGTGATGAACCTTTGAACCACCTGAACATAAGAAATCGAAGAAAGCTTATCTTTTAAACAGATAGTTAATGCTTTTTATAACGTTTTGATTATATTCCGATGCAAATGTACAGATTTTTAGTTTTCTCACAGTACAGCGTTTAATAAATTTCCACCTATTTTAGAAGAGATTTAACCTGAAGCAGACGACATTTCTCCATCGTTGCTGATTGACGCAGCGGACTTCTTGGTGTCTAATTCGTCCGCTCATTTCAGCATCATATTGGGCGTTTAACTTTAGTTAGATGATTGTTGTCCTTCACTCCCATCTTCACATACGGTCACAGAGTGGTATACGAACGCTTGCTGAGTCATTAACCATGTTCGTATTGCCTCCAAACTTCTCACGAGTATCATTCTGCGGCAATCCCTCGGTTTCTCTTGAAAACACAGTTAGTAAAAGCCGAATTAGCTTTATCTTAGTTGGCGATGTGGTGGCCACGAATCTACACTATGCCTAATATTAGCACAGCGTTACACACAGACGACCCAGTAGGGTGGTTTTTCTTGACTCAAAAGTCTCCATAGCTTAGGACACTGTCTACCATTGATGTACCGGCTGGAATTCTGTGCGTGATCATCCTAGGCATCTGCTATGCCAATAGCGGAAGACATAATTTATTCTGGTGCAGTCGCGGAGACATTGTGCTCTTGCATTCGATCTCGTGAATCCATCTGCGAACATTCCGACTGGATTACTTTTGCCCACCGTTCTCCCTAACATTTTTCTCTGTATTCAGCATCCGCCCCACTTCACTTATCCTGCCATCGTTATTGCAGAGCCTCGGACAGCGAGGACTGAATCTACCACAGTCCATTACATTGAGATTGCGCGTCGCAATCCAAACACACAACGTGTAGTCCAAATTTGACCCTCCAATTAGTCATTTACCGTTGTGCCAAGCGTTGCCCACCGTGACCCGGTAGCCAAAGGGGTAGAGGTTTCGGCTACTATTCCAATGGTCGCGGGATCGAGGCCTGCTGTCTCCAGCGGATGAGATGAAATTACATCGGAACGCGTCGTGATTGTACAGTGTTTTCGGGTGGGCATCACCCAATTTCCATCTGCTTTGAGTACGGTCCCAGTGATCGCAGTGACTAAGGTTCACTTTAATGTGAACCACAGTCCATTACGTTGAGATTGCGCGTCGCAATCCAATCACACAACGTGTAGTCCAAACTTGACCCTCCAACTATCATGCTTCGGTTGTCGGATCATCACTGTGAAAGTCACCTTAGCCACACAAGGCAATACTGTTAGTGCTGTGCGTATGACGACAGGGCCCAATTCGCCTCCGCTTCGGTTACGGTCCCAGTGATCGCATTGATAAAGCTTCACTTCAATGTGAATCGCGGTGTACATTGAAATTGCGCGTCACAGTCCAATCACAAGATGTGTGCTGGACTACAGTGGGCCAAGAACTGTTTGTCTAGGATTCTTCTTCCCCTATGTTTTAGCACTGCTAACGACACCAGTCTAATTACGTTCCGAAATTGACAAACCGAGACCATCCTCTCGGCGCAGACTACGCGCCTTCGCATTAGGAAAATATAGTGATTCCTACACACTTTTCAGCCATGCGTTTAAGAAATGAGTTCACTCTTTGGGCCCAGTTCTCGGCACTTGCTCTTTCTTCACTAGGTATTCGACTTCACTCTGAAGGATGAAGATGTGCATACACTCAGCACAAAGGGATTGAATCAGCGTCAGCTAGTTTCCAAAGAGTAAGTTTGACGTTGCTTTTGTTCCTAATCCATTCGTTTGCATTTAGGATGGAACTGTCGGACGAGTACCCTTTCAAGGACGAATTCTAAATAGGACTTCAAACGGACCTACATCAAGTGTTGGCAATTCGACAATCAGTAATCATAATGTTTGTGATAATTCTAACTATTGCACACTTTTGTCATCATAATCCAGTAAATAAAATACGCATACTTTAGTATATCTTTCTTTTTACACGGCTGGAATGTTATTATGGGTGCTGAACTCACTTTCGGTAATTTTACAGGGCATACGGCCAGATGAGGCATGGAAGTGTGGGTGAAACCTTTCGAGGGACCACCCTACATGGAAGCTGGTCCCATGCAGACGGTTCCACTGTTGACCATATTACTTTACTTGCACATTTGGAGTTGTCTGAATTTATTATTCTAAGCAACAATCTTTTTGAATGCTTCAACCGATCAACGAAACCCCTCCCAAAATAGTTTGGAAATGATACTGAAAAACTCGAAAATTTCAACTGTTCCGTGCGATTCCGAAGTACATAAGGATCAGTGCATTCAGTCACACAGTCTTGCAGAATAGTGGAATATACCGTATATATTTTTATTTATTTGAGTCAACAAGACAAATTAAACGTCGAATACACTCAAATGTGATTTGCATACATACCCCCTGTTCCTAATTTGTCCGTTCACTTGGCCCACTACAAATGGTCCGTAAGCAATTGGTGTCTACCCTTCAGATAGTCAAGCAATCTCTCAAGCCCACCTCATTCATATCCTTTTCTGATCCTTATGGATCAATGGTTTATGAGTCGCATAAAAGTGAATGCTTGACTTATCCCCTAGGGTTCTGATGCCGTCCACTGTTTGTTGTGCAATAATGCCATCATCTGATGGTCACGAGCTATATCACGTAAGGTAAATATGTCAGAGTACCTTAAAGGCATTTTTGAAGAGAGGTAAGGGGGGCATTAGGTACATGCGCCGGGAGGGCGTTATACCCAGAGAGAAAAAATTTCGTCGTCATTCCACTCGGCTGTGCTGCGTCACCAACTTAAACTCTTGACCGCTTAGAGATATATTTTGACTGAATTTCAAATGAGAGTGGCATGTGCGGTTGGGGTTTATAGGATCTGATCCATCATTTTGAGATAACCCTTTAGACCCCGATACCGTCAGCTGTATATTCCAAGGGTTTTCAGTCTGAGTGGGTAGGGTAGGCGGGACAAACCTCTGACATTCTTTGTCGTCCTGTGTTGTGCAGTATCGAGCGTGGGGAGGTGGTGCTTCTGCCAGGGCTGTCAGGGTTGGATAGAATATTTTGCATACGGCCTCACGTACGCGCCAAGCATTTTCGGGAAGATTGTGGCGTCAAAGTTCCCGAAAGCTCTATGAAGAAGGCCGACGTGTTGCTTTGCTTTCTTTGATGCATTTTCGATCTGCCTCAAACACCCAAGGTACTCTTGCACAAGCACGCCAAGATCGCACGCATGGGAAGCCCGCTGTAGAATTTGTGACTGTAGGATGTAGTTGTGGGTACTTTGATGGCATATGCTCAGAATTTTGCATTTGGTGGCGTTGAACTGCAGCATGTTCTCAATGGACTACGTGTACACTCAGTTCCTCTCATCTTGTAGGGCTGTGTGATCCTCCACTGAAGAGATAGCACACCATCTTTTTATGATCGCCTACCGTTACATTCAAATATACCATCATAAGTGATATTGCTAAGTAACATGGGTGTGTCGTGCATTTATGAGAGAACCCGTGCCCCGAATTGGCATAGATCCTTATGAAAAAACGTAATCAAGTACTCGCATGAGTAATTACTGTAGGGAGGTGGAAGCCAACAACTACTCGGGAACCAGAAAGACAACGAAAACAGAATAGTAAGGAATTATCAACGGACGCGATGGATGAGACGAGACAAGGCAGTGCGAGCCTTGCGGATCACGAGCGACTTCTGGTAACAAGCGTGGGCCCAGAACAACGGATGACGTATTTGTCGAGAACTTAATGAATCAGACAAATAAGCCGCTAGCGAAGCCCCACAGGACTGAACGCGGGCCGATTGATTTAGTCAAGGAAAAGCAAATCGCAAGCTTTCGAACGACTCCTAGCTGGCCAGAATCGGATATAGCGAAGCTGAGTTACAGCATGCAAACTTGGAGGGATTGTTCCAAGGCTCAAGAATGGAAGGCACATGGAACGGTCCGTCCCCCAAATCGTCATCTGCTGCTCGTCGGGGGAAGGAAACACGGTCCACATCTGTACGGGTTTGCGGATGACCAGTTGCGCATTGGTGTGGCAATGTAAGCTCTGCCCCTCTTCCACGTTGTTCTCGCTAAAATACGAGCGTTTTGTCCCTACATGTTATTGGTACATCGTGAAATCCACAAGACTGTTTCGCGAGAAGCTGCAAAGTTGCACTGATAGGTGCTTGTATCTTCTGCACCTATCAACACGACTGTATGTTGGCAAACTCTTTACCAAATGATGGGTAATCCAAATTCTAGGGTACCTGGTGACTAAAAGACATATGTTGATACGGGTGTGTTACACAGTGAGTTGGATTCATGTCTTCCAGATCGATAAATGACTTTCACATGTGTTTAACTAATTCCCGAAGGCTCACTGCAGCCACAGATAGTCAGACAGCTAGCACACATCCAAAAAACGCCGGGTGTTGGTCTCCTCTCGTTAGAACACATCTGGAGTGTTCAGCTACCTCGAATCAGACCGGACTCGAACCTATGAATTTTTGTACTTAATCAGCAACTTAAGCCAACAACGTCTGGTCGCCAAGGCAAGTTACTAGGGCCAACAAGGCTTTACTCATGTCTCAGTATTATGCATGTATCCTCCGCGTTTGCCCCCAAAGGAATGATTTCCCTTTCTAACTCGGGATATACCGCAGCCAGTCACAAACGTCCCCCAACTTTACAAGTGCCCCAGGGGCTTATTTACTTATTACGTAAGAGAAATTTCATGTCTGCAGATCCTCGAGTATCCACAAGAGAGTTGTACCATTTTCTTGCTTCTCGGTAGTACGAGGCTTCCGTCCTGCGCTTTTCTGAATTTGCTAATAAGCGATGACTTACTGATGAAAGATGCCAACATTATGTGTAGGTACTTCTTTATTCTTTCCCAAACCCTGATGACAAATTGTCGGCATCACTTTCTGAAAACATGTACTCAAGGATCTAATCTTCTGTACCAATCGCGCAGGATATCCTCCTTAACTGAAAGGATAAAAACTACTTAGTAATTTTTTACTGTAATGGTAACTGTAAACGGCCCACATAGGTTCTTAGGTGCCTATCCCTATAATACAGCCTAATAGGAGGTAAACTAGTTGTGAATAAATAGCCGGGTTATTTTTGCATTACTCCCTGTAGTCCAGCTGGCAGATCGGCGAACAGCACACACCGACTAACTGTACGCCTCCACTCATTTCTAGGCATCTATTACGCTGTTACTGTGTAATAATCCCACCAAATAAAACAACTTGATAGACGAAGCAACCCAGGGCTTGAAAAATACATCAACTTTCGCAGTGTCATTGGTCAACATTACTACTTCAGTCGTTGTGTTTAACACGCGCTTCTATTAACCTTAAGAACTCCTTCTCTTCCTTTTCAATCATAAAAATACCGGTGCGTTGCTTTCACATTTGCAGGCTCAACGAATAATACGTCACTTGTAAAACAACAGTTGCTTGATTAGTCCCGTATAATAGTTGGGGTGTATACCACAATATAAAAAGAATATGTGAGTTGTCTTTTTATGCGTCTATCGAGTAAACGCGCCTCTGAAAATTTAATGCGAACAACAAGACAACATAAGGTCAGTTGTAGTAGGTGTACTCCGTGAGCAAATTAAAAGCAAGTATAATAATAATAATAATAACAATAATAATAGGTATATTTCTCAGAAAGGTGAGACACGTTCCAGAGACCCTGGACCGATCATTACGTACAAGTTTTCTCTGAAACTGAAATGGTTTATCGGATGCGAGGAGATTCGTATTGTGTGGGATTGGATTCAAGTTGTAATTTATTCTTATGCAGATCCAACTTTCTTCGGTAGCAAGTATCTCATCGTACCGTTGAACGAGTTGTGGTCCGGATCAACGTAAATAGAAGGGAAATAGCAAGTAGTAGTAAGTATTAGTGCGATGGAGGCCGAAAACTTCATAGGGAATTATGTACATGTGTGGAATTGAGAATAATATAGTGTGGGGAGGGTCTCGCAAGCAAATTTCTGGACTCAGCATAAGGAACAGCAGTATGGGTCTGGCTAACAGGGAAAAATAAGTCCACATTACTGCACAGTGAAAAAGGGAAATATTTAAGCAACTACCTTATTATTGTATTGCAGGTGTTGTTTACAATTAGGAGGCGCAATACGGATTTCGGATTACTTAAGATGTGTGGGTTGTGGGCTGTGAACAAGAATGCCGAACCTTTAGTAGTTTGGCTAACTGCGCTAGGAGTTTGATTATGCAGGGAATTGGTCCAACAGAACGCCAGTGATATGTTTACGAGGTTACAGTAGTCCTGAGTGACAAACATATCGATGTTGACAATGTGTCGGTTGATTCACCAGCAAGATATGGTCAAGTAAAAACCGAAGCTAAGTGTTGGGGAGTAAGGTGGGTTGAAGATGTAAAGAAAGGATCCGGGTGCTTTACCTACCAAAGCGTCAGTGCTTTCACAAACGAATGGTAGGTGTGCCAGCGGGTGAAACGGAAGTGAAGTTACGATTGGAGAGATAGTTAACCGGATTTGGGAGTCCAGCTAACCAAGTTGCCAGTGATTCAACTGACACATGGTTGCAGTGGAGCCAAGTAAAATCAAGGGGAAGTATAGTGAGCCAGGATGGGATGAAGAGGATAACAGAAGCCTGGACCTCCAACCCATCAATGTATCAGTGGAGCCACTAATCAGCGGTGAGCTTTCGGGCAGGCAGATCAGGAGTGGGCAATAAAAGAGAAGGGTAAGCAGGGAATCTTTTGATCTGACTTGATCTGACTGATACAGTCATTTGCAACTTTCAGTTATATGTTGTCTGGACCTTGTTCATACGTTTGTTGAATAGTTGTAGGGCAGCGCAGGAGCATAATCACATTGCTGACTGTAAGATATTCGTCAAGCTTTCTACGAAAGTTATACTCAGATGTGCTAGTACGAATATCGGTCGGCAATTTGTTCCAAATACGGGAGTACCGATTTAGGAAAAAGTTTGCTGATATGTTTGTCTTTGACCTTACCATCACAGAATTTTCTCTATTGCGTGCATTGTATCCATTTGGTTTCATGAGTGATAGATCAATGCTAGGGGTGTGGACATTTTTGTGCAGGATATTGAAAAAAAGTGCTAAGTTTACTTTTAGGCGTCGAAGCCATATTGGGTCAAGCTTAAGTAAGTCGCATCGCTCAGAATAGGGTAACACTAAGCTCGTACCAATAAGGCGCTTTGTAAACGCTCTTTGTACCTTTTCTATGGCGATACGATCATGCTTCCTGGAATTGCTATACACCATTGAGCAATATTCAAGTAAAGGGCAGGCGAATGATTCATACATTGAACAAATTGAATCTCTTAGAGTAAGATTTTTGAATAGTAATGCAATGCGTTGTTTAGCTCTTGCTGTTGCATAAAATGCTTGTTCTGAGAAGTTAAGGGAATATGAGTAGCAAAGCCCTAGGTCACAGGTGGTCTGACAGA